CCTCCCTATTTACAAAGACTTTCTTTCCAATTTTTCCTTTTCTCATATTTTTTCTTTTCCCTTCTTTCCTTTTAATGCACTTGGCTTTTGAGACAGAGATCCTTCAGAAGAATAATGGGATAAGGAAGAACACATAATATACTTTTAATGGGTAATAGGTCCTGAGACCATGGCTTACTCATCTTTGTAATTCTCTTAATAATAAGGGGTTATATTCATTTCAATGAATATAGTCCAAAATATATGTTTAAGGGTATTCTAAAAGATTTAGGGATGAGCATGTTTGCTGATTGTCTTTTTTTTTTTTTTTTGGTACCGGGGATCGAACTGGGATGAGCATGTTAATAGTATTCATAGCAGAGCCGGGCATGGTGGCGCACACCTGTAATCCCAGCACTCAGGAGGCTGAGGCAGGAGGATTGCTGAGAATTTGAGGACAGCCTGGGCTACATAGTGAGTTCAAGGCCAGCCTGGACTATATAGCAAGACCTTGTCTCAAAAAACCAAAAAAAACAAAACTAAAACCACAAAAACCCCACAATATTCATAGCACTAGTAAACAATAGAAAAACTTTCTTGTTTCATGAATAAGAATTTGGTTAAATAAGTTTTGGAGTATTCATGTCATAATATAAGCCAGTAAAAAGAAAAATAGTCTTAGCTGTTCATGGTGTTGCATGCCTGTAATCTCAGCTATATGTTGGACTGAGACAGGAAGATCAAAAGTTTGAGCTCAGCTTGTGGAATGTAGTGAGCCCCTGTCTTAGAATAAAATAAAAAAAGGGCTGATAATATAGCTCAATGTTCCCTGGGTCCAATTGTTCAATTTCCAGTACAAAAAAAAAAAAGTCTTGTAGATTACTATTTGACTTGGAAAGATATATTAAGTGCAGAAAGCCACAGAGCAATAGTATAGCTTGTTTGTTTGTTTCTTTCTTTTTTTGACAGGGTCTCACTGTGTAGTTCAGACTGGCCTTGACCTCACTGTGTAGTCCAGGATGGCCTTGAACTCACTGCAATCCTTCTGCCTCAGCCTCCCGAGTGCTGGGATTATAGGGATGCACCACAATGTCCACCAAGTTTCATCTCATTTTTGTAAATTAAGAACTTGTATTTGTATAGGACATGATAGTTGCTGGAAGATCATACCCCAGGTGTTAACATGTTCTACAATTTGGGGTAATTTTCTTCTTTCTTTCTTTCTTTTTTCTATCCTTAATATCATTCTGGATTTTTTTTAACAATATGTATTTATGACTTTCAAATTTAAAGAAACATTGAAAGTATATTTACTTTGGGATTTATTTTTTCTGGTACTGGGGATCGAACTCAGGACCTTGAACTTGCCAGGCAGGTGTGGCACCACTGAGCTGTATCCTCGGCCCTGGAAATTTTTGACTGAACCAAAAATGGAGTAAAATCTAGGTAGTGAGGGGGCTGGAAGTTGAAGTAATTCACTTTGGAAAAGACCAGGATTGTATTGGAGAAGGGAGTGGTAGAAATAAAATTATTGTTTGTTTGCATGGTATTGGAGGGTGAACCCAGGGAATCCTGAGCTACATCCCTAGCCCTTTGTATTTTTTATTTTGGGGCAAGGTCTCCGTAAGTTGGTAAATTGACTGTGCTGTGCTTAATTGACCATCTTCCTCCCTCACCCTCCCAGAGTGCTGGGATTACAACCATGCACCAGCATGCCCAACTATAGCATCACTATTTTCTTTGTTTTTTTGGTACTGAGGATCAAACGGAGACCTTTCGCTTGCAAGGCAGACAGCGGAACCACTGAGCTAAATCCCTGGCCCTTTCTTTTTGAGACAGTGTCTTGCTCTGTAGTTCAGGCTGGCCTTGAATTCACTATGTAGCACAAGCTGGCCTCAAACTCATGGGGATCCTCCTACCTCAGTCTTCTGAGTGCTGGGATTACAGGTATGCCTACTATGACTGGCTAACATTGCTGTTTTTATCAGAGAAAGGCACTAATTACCAACTATCTCTTCATTCTTGGGATCTTACTGCAGGCATTTCGTGAATCATGGTTTATACTTATATTTATTTTTAATTTGGCTTTAAATACATTCCTTTTTCCACCCTGTCCCTCTGAGCTTTAATAGTCTGTGTAATTAATTGCTGGTAGTAGAAGCTGCTTGTGAGTGTACAGATTTTGCTTTTGTAAATGGCAGCCTTCTTTGCTCCAGTAAAGAGAGCCCGTCAAGGTTTTTGCCTCCACTCTTCTTCCCCCAGCTAAGCAGTGATCTTCCCCCACCTATGGTGAGAAAGCTTGCTGTCCAAGTCTCATGGTCCCTAGTAGATTAGAGGACAGATACTTTTTTGCTGCTGGTGGGTGGTGGGTGAAAGAATTAAATATAAGCTCTGGCTGGCCCAGCATGGTGGTGCATGCCTTTAATCCCAGTTCTCTGGGGAAGCTGAGGTAAGATCTGAAGTTTGAGCTCATCTTGGGCAGTTTAGGGACTTAGTGAGACCTTGTTTCAAATTTAAAAAGGGCGGGGCATTTAGCTCAGTGGAGAGGCCCTGGATTCAATCTGTAGTTGGGGGGGGTAAATAAAAAAAGGCCCTGGGAGAAGGCTTAAATTGAGGATTGCCTGGATCTTACAGAGTAACAAGAGTATTAGCAACAACATTAACAACATCCAATGATAAAAATTTACAGCCTGAATTTTGGGCCATTACTGAATTGCTAGATTTCTGGGTTGCTGTTCATGCTAAGCAGCTTATAAGGAACAGGCTGCCCAGTGAGCCATAGCACTGCAAGGTAGTTGGAGAGTACATAATCTCCAGTAAGTAGGGTCTATAGCCCCTTCCAGTTTGAAGAAGCTGTAGAAGACAGAGACCTCCACTCCTTCAGCACCCCATAAAGAATTACGGGGATTTGTGTCTCTCAGAGGGAAATGAAATAGGAGATAGAGTGTGGGTTAGACTGGCTAGGAAGAGAGGTGTGGGATCCCACCCAGCACCGCCTCTCAGGAACCATATGTAGAAATTCTCATGTTCATTTGAGATTTGGATGGCATAAAAGGACACAGACGCCATGAAAAGCTCACTGTCAAGCTCACTGTCGAGGCTTTCCTCACTGATAGCCCACCCAGTGTCCTCCAGGGTATATTTTTATCTTGCTTTTATCTGTTTTACTCAGGCAAAGCTTGCTCTGCAGGGCCAGTTTCTCACTCACTTTTCACTTTTACTTTTTAAAATAAACTTTATCACCATCAAAAAATAAAAACAAAACAAAAAAACTCAAAGGAATAAGCTGCCTTCTTAGAAAGAAGATCTTTGGGGGTCTTTGGCTTGTCCTTTGTGGTCTCACCTGTCAGAGCTTTGTTCCCCCAGTGATTGAGTCTTGGAGGTAGGGGATCAGCCACTGGTATACTAGCTCTTTGTGATCCTTCTGAAAGTCTAGGCAGCTAGGTATTCCCTTTCATTTATGGCAAGGTGAGTCCTGGTGCAAATTGAACTTATAAATGACAGGGCTTAGTTCAGAGCCCAGAGTTTTGTTAACTTTCCCTAACGGTGTGAACCAGATGTTGTCTGATGACTAGATGAAGGTTTCATTCACCTTCACAGGCTATTTTGGTAAGGAGTATGGATTGTAGATTCATAAAATGCCAGCTGTAGAAAGGTCGCTAAGGGATCAAGTTTACCCTCTAATCAAAGAGATAGATATTGGCAGGAATTAGGAAGGTCAGTTCACATCTGAGAGTTTCTTAACACTTTGGTTATAATCATTTGGTGCATCTGTACCCAAGTAAATCATATTTAAAGTGGGAATAAGAATCTTTATTAAATAACTATAAGCCTTTGTGAGATAAAGAACATAATTGTGATTCTAATGTAAAAGTTTACCAAGAATGGAAATCTGAAGTTCATAGTCTAGCTGAATAGATGACCAAAGTGGTAAAAATAAATTTAAAGCTAGACCTCAAACTTTGACTGTTCCATCTTAAATGTTTCTTCTTCGTATTCTACAGGTGATGGCAAATGCTGTGAGAAACCAAGGCACTGGTGAAGAGATATATTGAGTCCAGCCTAGTCCATTGAGGTTATGAGAGAATTGGGAGAGTCTCAAATCAGTATCCTATATGTACATAGTTATCAAACCATTGTGAAATCTTGGTAAGTGGCTTTGGTAGGTTTGCCCATACAGTGGGAACGAACATAGAAAGTGGTCTTAATAACAAGCACTAATTATTTGATGTTTTCCTATTATGATTAGAAAGCAGGTTAAAATATTCAAGCTGTACTAGAGAATAAAGAATCTAATTTCCTTTTCCCACATTCCCATTTTTTATGGATGGGGGAATTAGAAGTTGCCCAAATTTGTAGCTAGTTGGGGTAGAATATGGTTTTGAATCCAAGCCCTGTTGTATCTTCTATCCAGTGCTTCAACCCAGTGCTTCATCTAGATTTCATCCAAATCCAAAAAGGCTGGTTATGTGAGACAGAAATGTTTTTATCTTACACTAAAAGATTTTTATAATGGCTTCAGAGATTGTACTTTCCAGATGATGGAAATTTCCATGGTGTAAAATTTTATTATGTATAAAATCACCTGGGGTGCTTGTTAAACGTGCAGATTCCTAGACAACCAGCATTATCATTGGTCAAGAATAACATTAAGAGGGCCAGGGATTTAGGTCAGTGGTTCTGGTGCCTGCCTCGCAAGCGAAAGGTCCAGAGTTCAATCCCCAGTACCAAAAAAAGAATAACATTAAGATCTATCTATTATTTATACTGAGGCTTCCTGCTTCGCATATTCTCCGGAGTGCCAGGATAATTTCCCTGTCATCACAGATGTTCGTTGTGTAGAAGTCTTGATAAGTTATCCATAGTTTTGGTGGATTTCCTTATTTGGCAGCAGAGAGCAGTGAGGAAAGTGACCACAGTGTAACACTTAGCCTTCCTTCTGCAGATAGTTAATAAGTAGTTACTAAATGCCAGAGACTGTTCTATACATTAACAAAGTCCTCATCATGGAACTGTCATTCTTGTGAGGTTGGGCAAAGGAATAAATAACCAGTAAGTATATAATGTGGACTGCAGATGTAGCCCAGTGGTAGAGCCCTTGCCTAGCATGTGCAAGGTTCTGGGTTCAATCACCAGCTATATACACACACAAGTTAAAAACGTATAATGTATCGTAAGTGTCATATTGGATTTTACATTATGATATGAAAAATTCCATTAAAATGGTTAAGTTAAATTAAGCAGCATCTTGTGTTTTCTTTCTTTCCTCTGTTCTCTCTTTTGATACCTGCTGATGTCTCTCAATGCAATGGAGGCTGATCCAGCTGAGTTCGGGGAAGGTAATAGATGATGCAAGCAATCTTCTTCTTTTTATAACTCCTCATTAGGTTGGATTGTGAAGGATATCTTTTTTGAGACAGGGTCTCACTATGTAGTTTAGGCCAGCCTTGAGCTCACTATGTAGCCCAAGCTGGCCTCGAACTCTTGGTGATCTTCCTGCCTCAGCCGGCTCAGTGCTGGGACTACAGATGTGTGCGACCATGCCCAGTGTGAAGGATATCTTTGAAAACTGTTTTATAGTCTACCAGAAGAGGAGGGGGGTTTTTTCTCAGTGATTAAGGTAATTGTGAATAAGGTAAGTAGGGGAAGAAAGGCTGATTTTGCCCTGACTCCTATCAGGGAAACTCTTAGAAATGCCATTTCTAGTACAAGTGACAGATCAGGACTTTCAAAGCCTGTAACATACTCTACATCTATAATATAATCTCAGTGTAGCTTAGATAGATATAGTTACTCCAATCTGTAATCACCACTGCTGAGGATCAGCTTTTGATTTTTTTTCCCACTCAAATTTGACTCACCAAGAGTATATTCACAAATTGGGCTGTGTTTTGTATGCCTCATTGTAATTAACTCATTTATTCTATATGTTTCTCCCATTTCTTCCTTTTCAGGGCTAACTTTTAAAATTAGGCAATTCATAAGTATCCAAAATTATAATTTATATTTCCTAATTTTAACTTTATCCTGATTTTAGTATACGTCCCTCTTAGACTTTTCTGTATATTTCTGTTATATGTCTTAACCTTTCTGGGGGAGAAGCCACCTTGGAAGGTTAATTTTCTGCAGGTTTGTACTGAAGAAATATGTGACATGTAGCCTTAATCTGATGTCATTTCTTGACCACCTGCTCTGAGCCATATGTGTATATATTCTGTCATTGAGTCTTTGCCAAAACTCAAATAGGTACGTGTTAGTTTCTATCTTCATTTCAAAGATGAGTCTTGGGAAGCCTAAGTAAATTTACGTAGATCATAATGCTAATTAGTAGTTGAACCAGGATTTAGGAGCATAATTCATGATGCTCTTTTCTTTTTCTTTTTGTTTTGTGTTGGAGAATCAAACCCAGGGCATTGTGCAAACTAAACATGTCTCTACTATTAGGCTAACCTCTCATCCCCCCCACCTTTGTGGTTCCAGGGATTGAACATAGGGCCTTGCACATGGTAAAAACACGCTCTACTGCTAAGCTTCACCCTTAGCCCTCTCATTTCTCTTTTTTTTTGGTACCAAGGATTGAACTCAGGACCTTGCGCTTGTGAGGCAGGCGCCAGAACCCTCTCATTTTCTATTTAAGTGTTCTAAAGTTAATTTTTTTTTTTTAAATCTTGGAATTTGGTCTTTAATGAGCATAAAATAGCGAAGTGTAATAATACTGGAACTGGGGGGGGAAGTCCTTGAATTCTTTAAGAAACACTTAGTTAATGTGTACAAATTGTTCTCTGGAATTGGAAGTCAGAATCCTTTTTTTCTTTTTGTACTTAGAATTGAACCCAGGGCCTCAAGAATGTTGGCAAATGCTCTAGCATTGGGCCACATCCCCATCCCCATTTAAAAAAGATTTTTAAATTTGAGGTGGGGTCTTGCTAAGCTGCCCACACTGGCCTTGAACTTGAAATCCTTCTGCTTGAACTTGAAATCCTCCTCTACCTCTTTCAGCCTTCCCTGTTAAATCTTGTCTACTGTATATTCCTGGTAATCCCTATTGTATTCCCTCTCAGCAACATATGAGTGAATTGGTAATGCTCTTCTAGCTAAAACCCTTTATAGCAGTTTTTCTTTTCTACTTTCTATGAAAGGCAAGTTACATACCTACTGTCTAGGAACCTTCTTACCATGTTATTCTGTTGAAGGCAGGTAACAACTACTCATGCTCAAAAAGACTAGATCAGGAGCCTCACCCTCATACCTTTATAGCTAATGATTTTGGGATGTCCGGGCTTCTGGGAGGGCTTGGGAACCTTCAAGAATTCTGTTTACTTTTTAGAACCTTTTTTTTTCGTTTTGTAGTACTAGGGATTAAATCTTGCCATCTTTCTTCCTTAGCCACTTGAGTAGCTGAGATTACATGTGTGCTATGTGCCTCACCCAGTTTATTTGTACTCTTATTGCATGACTTTATTTTCAAAATACCCTGTGACAGTCTTCATGAAAAAGAAAACAAAGTATGATGGGGAGTTATGCAGAGGCACTTGAAGATGGTTCTAAATTTATCTGCAAGGAAATAGTGTATATAAGGCTTTGAACCAGTTACTCCTTGGTACCTCTGCTAATGATTTTTTTTGGGGGGGAGGGCGGAGACAGGGTCTTGCTATGTGGTTCAGGCTGGCCTTGAACATACTATGTAGCCCAGGCTGGTCTCCCACGTGCTGGGATTACAGGCGTGTACCATCACATCTACTAGCCAGTGATACTTTTAACATGGTATTGTATGTCTACAGGTTGAATACCCCTTATCTTGTTTGTTTTTGGTACCGGGGATCGAACTCGGGACCTTCTGCTTGCAAGGCAGGCGGCAGAACCACTAAGCCAAATCCCCGGCCCTGAATACCATACCTCATCTTAAATATTTCAGACTAAAAGTGTTTCAGATTTCAGAGTTTTTAGATTTTGTAGTATTTATATAGACTTTTTTGGTTGACTATTCCTGATCTGAAATTTAAAATGCTCCTACTTGAATTTAGGAAGATTTTGGATTTTGAGATAGGAATGTTCAGCTTTGTTTTAGGTCATTCAGATCTGTATTCTTTTATAGAACCTAATTTTGGAGGTTGTCATTTCTTAAGCAACCTTTTGTGAGGTCACTCATACATTTTATCATTCTTATTCATAAGCATCATTGGTTCTTATCGCTTAATGTGCTTTCCTTCACACGAGATTATAATATAGTCTTCTGACTTGACTACTTAACTCAGTTTATTAGAAATAATCTAATTAGGGCCAGGGATTTAGCTCAGTGGTTCCGCCACCAGCCTTGTAAGCACAAGGTCCTGAGTTCAATCCCCGGTACCAAAAAAAAGAAAGAAATAGTCTAATTAATTTGGTAAACGGTTCTAAGCATAAATTTCCTTTGTTCTGTTAGGTCTAGGTTTTCTTCTAGGTCTAGGTTGTATTCATCACATAAAGGGTTTGCTTGGTTTTTGTTTGTTTGTTTGTTTGTTTTGTTGCTGGGGATAGAACCCAGGGCCTAAGCATACAAGCCAAGTACTCTATACTGAGATACTGAGCTACACCCCCAGCCCTAAGAGGTTCTCTATGGTAGGTATTGGCAAACTTTCTGTAAAGGGTCAGATAGTTTACTCAACTCTGTGGTTGTAGCAAAAAGCATCCATAAACAATATGAAAACAAATGGTCATGACAAACTCATTTTATAAAGACAGGCAGTAGGATCCAGGTGTAGTAGTGCACACCTGTAATTTCAGCATTCTGGGAGGTTGAGGCAGGAGGATTACAAGTTCAAGCCCAGCTTTGGTAACTTTGCAACTTAGTGAGACCCTGTCTCAAAATTAAAAAAAAAAAAAAAAGAAAGGCGCTGGGATGTATTAGTGTGAAGGCAGTAGGCTGGATTTGGGCCACAGGCAATAGCATTCTGTCCCTTGCTCTACATTATTGTGTGTGTGTGTGTGTGTGTGTGTGTGTGTGTGTACATGTACTCACGATGCTTGTATGTGTATGCACACATATACACACAAAGAGTTTAGAACAAAAAGACATACCTACAGTAAGTAAACGTTCTGAATGATTTTATTCATACTGTGTGTAATACAATAGCAGTGATAAAGCTCTCCTTGGAAAGTCTTGTGATCTG